GGAAAAGCGACAGAAGAATGTTGTGCAGAAATGGGATGGAATGGTGAATTCATTTTCTGTGTTGATAGGGATCGAGGAAGCCGGTATCCTAGTTAGTTAGATGTTATAAGCACGCATCGTAAAGAAAAAAGAGGCAGAAGGGCGCCTTGAAGAACACAAAGTCAGATCGAACAGACCATGGCCATACTTGGAATGGCTTCCAAAAGATTTGAGTGTCTAGCTTATTGGCTGTAGCCAGTCTGCACGACCGTACTTTCTAACATAGGCCACTTCAGCGCGCGACAACCTGCGCCGGTGGATGAGGTGGCCCCGTGCAGCCGCAACGGACCCTGTCGTCTTGCATTTTACAGATAATACAGATTTGTAACAGCTGGCCGCATGGGCTGAAGCTTAAGGACGACATACACTCCCCCATCCTCGGCGACTTTTGCCTAGGCAAGGCAGAGGGGAAAGGAAGATTTGCCGCGTGCTTGATGTGTCCAGAAAAGTCAACAGGATGGCTGCTGGATGCTGCTTTACACGAAGGCCGCGCCGCTGAAGTAGCGGAGTTCGCTTCCGTAAACATCTGCGCTCAGAGAGAGCAATTCAAGTTCATTTTCTTATAGCTCTTTGCGTTGGGATCGAACACTGATGATCAAACACTTTTTGATTTTTTTTCGCAATCTCCTGATAGATGATGACTCACTTCTTTTCGAGGACCGCCTTCTCATAGAGGGTCCGCAGGCTGGGAACCCGCAATACATTGTACGTGTACAGTGCTCCTTCAAATACTGGCATCATCTGAAACTTTGAATGTAATGTAACAGTAGTCACGTATCTACTATACTACTCACAGTGTTTGCCATTTTGAGTTTGGCCTCGTGTTTATACTGATCCGCCAGCAACACTTTATTGCCAGATTTAGCGGTTTCTTCTGCCAATCGACACACTTCATAATGGTCACGGGTCAGTTTCCAGTCACATCTACAGCTCACAAAAGATTAACTAGTTTTACAGATTGTAAGCGCAGATCTTGAAACACATGGGCATTTACCGCACATAGTGCATTTGGAGTCTTCCTTGGGTGGTAGCCAACCGTCTTTGCATTGCTCACAGCACCAACCTTCCATGCGAGCATTCCTCTCTTCATCCGTACAACCCTCACAAGCACAGTCGAAGTTATAATCTCGCTAAAATGAGACATACGAATGACAAAGCAAGAAAAGGGTATGGAATCAAGTATAATAGATCAAGATTTGATTATACCTTCAAAATCTCTCGTCGCATAGAACGAGGCATAAGTTCATTGATATAGGAATGTTTGGCTTCTCCCAGTGAAGACGGTGGTCGCAATGTTGAAGTAGGAACCATCACCGCTTGTCTTCCCCTATAAATCTATATTGATCTTGTCTTACAGTTTTGTTAACAATCACGTAATTACTTCTCGTTCCCTTCCAAATTTGTGCAGTCCCAACACTAAGGTCCGCTTTTTTTCGGGAAAAAACAAATGCACCTTCGCGTCAACTACTGGTGTTCGCCTTCCAAGGTCGCTTACAATTCGTTTTACTCAAGCAGGCAGGCTTATCTAGGGCGTACTTATCCTCACCGAGCGCCTCGCACATTTTTTTTTGAATAAGGCGCTATCTGCAAACGGACTTCTTGGGAAGACTTATCTGAGGGCGGCTTATATGCTAGATTTCAAAGCCCCCCCCCCCAAGGATGAATCGCGAAATTTTTGGAAGTTGCTAACATAATGGTTATAAAATTGTGACTTGTTTATACTTGTAAATACCCTAAAATCTCACAGATAAGTCCAGATAAGTCATCAGATAAGTCCGGACTTGTCTGTAGGCAGATTTATCTGATGGGACGACTTATCTGCAGGATTCTTGGCGGCGCAGCGTGTATTTTTATCGATTTTCCTTGTCAAAGCGGACTTATCTGTAAGACTTAAGGGTTATTGAAATAATTTTTCTATTTTTTCAGTCTTACTAGCCTTGTAAAAAATTTTCCTTTGTATAAATCTCGGGGTCATGGGTCCGGGAAAAATTTATGAAGCATCCAAAAAATTTTCGGAGTGCGTGTCTAACGCCACGCACCTCCATCCAAAAAAAATTCTCCTCCCCCCTCGGACGGAAATCCTGCGACCGCCATTCTGCTGGTTGGTCGTGGTTAGCCAAGTGTACCCCGTTCTAACCACAGCCAAAGAAGAGCACGAATTCGGGAGCGAACCAAAAGTATATCTAATATGGAAGAGAAAAAAGTTAGGGATTAATTTTTCCCATAAAAAAAA